TTTTATATAATTTTCATATTTACATAAAAAAAAAATACAATTATTATCGTTTATTATTTAACAATTGTTAATAATTGCTTTTATACGAATAAAATAATATATAATGTATATATTATATATGCAAGTTAATATATACATAGGCATACTCATATGTACGTAGTATACATAATAAGTGTGTGTACGTGTATACATATCGAAAGATATATTAAATGCACCGGCTACGTTTATTTAATAGTTAAAATGAAAAAATTGTCCTAAAACGCTCACACAAACAACATATGTGTATAATACATAAGGCTTATAAAAGTAGAAAATAAAAAAAAAGGCCATCTTTCTCAATATACCGCTTCTTTAAATTTATTTAATTAAAAAAATATATAAAGTAAATTCAGACAAATATTTTATATCTTTTTTATTAAAAATATTGTGGTCCTGAAAAGGACCGATTGTTTCATAAAATGCATTATTTTGCCTAACTTGCATAATTTATGCACGTTCTCCACGAATGCGTCGAGCCAGTTGAATGTCTTTAGGCATAATTGTAACTCGTTTAGCATGAATAGCGCATAAATTTGTGTCTTCAAACAAGCCGACTAAGTACGCTTCACTAGCTTCCTGCAAGGCCATAACAGCAGAGCTTTGGAAACGCAAATCTGTTTTAAAATCTTGAGCGATTTCGCGCACCAAACGTTGAAATGGCAATTTGCGTATTAATAATTCGGTACTTTTTTGATAGCGACGTATTTCACGCAAAGCAACTGTACCAGGACGATACCGATGAGGCTTCTTAACACCACCAGTAGCTGGAGCGCTTTTTCGAGCAGCTTTTGTAGCCAGCTGTTTACGTGGTGCTTTACCGCCAGTTGATTTACGAGCAGTTTGCTTTGTACGAGCCATTCTTTTTTATTTTCTTCTTCTTCTTTTACAGCTGGAACCAATTCAATTTTCACAAACAAGATATTTAGAGCACTGAACACTGAACACTGAACACCAAACACTTAGCACTGATCACTTCACTATTAACTTTATATGGGGTTATGCCATGCTTATATAGAAAAATTTACAGTAAAACTACTACTACTACTACAACTACTGTTGTTATACATAATAATAAACAACACATCATGTCTTCGTGCGTCGAATGTCGTGTTAACGAAGTGCTTTTATACTATGCATGGGTGCATGTGTGTATGCATTACGTTTGTTTTGTGTTGAGTTGCGTTGAAATTTGTATAAATACTGGTGTGTTTGAGGCAAACGGCATCAGTGTTTCTAAAGTGCTTTGTGTGAATAAGTGAAAAGTGAAAAATACGAAAAAATGACTGGACGTGGTAAAGGTGGTAAAGGCTTAGGAAAAGGTGGTGCTAAACGTCATCGTAAAGTGTTGCGTGATAATATTCAAGGTATAACAAAACCGGCTATCAGACGTTTGGCTCGTCGTGGCGGTGTGAAACGTATCTCAGGCTTGATTTATGAAGAAACCCGTGGTGTTTTGAAGGTTTTCTTAGAAAATGTTATTCGTGATGCTGTCACATATACTGAACATGCTAAGCGAAAAACAGTTACAGCAATGGATGTCGTTTATGCTTTGAAGAGACAAGGCCGCACTTTATATGGTTTTGGCGGTTAAATTGCAAGAAATTGCTTGAACAGAAAATGAGAATATGAAAAAAAAAAAAACAATCGGTCCTTTTCAGGACCACAAATATAATAAAAAGGAGATATGTTTTTACATAAATATATATTTTTTTTTATTATACCAACTTGTTTGTTAGAAAAAAATAAAATTTTTCAATATTTTCGCTTTTAATAAAAATAAGGAAAACAGAAATAATAATAAAAAGCAGTTGAAAAGAAGAACAGGACTTTACGCAATTTTGTGACATTTTCTTTTGAAAGACGAAGAATATATTTATATATGGAAAATATGAAAAAAACACATGTATATATATCTCATTTTTAAAAATGTTTCGTCGTCCTGAAAAGGACGGATTGCTTCATTTTATGATGTCTATATTATTTATTTAGGCCTTCTTCTCAGTCTTCTTAGGCAAGAGCACTGCCTGAATATTTGGTAGCACGCCACCTTGAGCAATTGTTACACCGGATAGAAGTTTATTTAATTCTTCATCATTACGGATGGCCAATTGCAAATGACGTGGAATAATTCTAGTCTTCTTATTATCACGAGCAGCATTTCCAGCTAATTCTAAAACTTCAGCTGCTAAATATTCCATAACTGCTGCCAAATAAACGGGAGCACCCGCACCAACTCGTTCAGCATAATTGCCTTTTCTCAATAAACGATGAATACGACCGACAGGGAATTGTAAACCAGCACGATTTGAGCGCGATTTTGCCTTGCCTTTAGCTTTGCCACCTTTACCACGACCAGACATGTTTATTTATTTTTTTCACTCTTGTTTTTTTTTCACCACACTTCACTGAGCACACGCGCACGATTATTGAGATTTGTATGACATAAACGCTATATTTATACTTTTTCTCAAACGAAACACTCGCAAACACAGCTGCTTCGTTTAACAATATACGAATATAACCGATGTATGCTCTATACCTGA